CAGGAACGAGCAAGAAATTAAAACAGAACCTCCAGAATATCCATCAACACCATCAAATTCATCCTCAATTTCACGCTTAATAACAACGTGAAATTGAGGATGAATTTGATAGTGTTGATAGTATTATCAGTCTTCAGAGGATGAAGAAACTTGTGCCGAAAGTCTCATGAAGGCTGAAGTAACTATCGAGGAAGGAGATAATTGATAACACCCTTATAAATACCATGCACTAGAACAACCTTTGAACTTGATCATTTATAACAAAAGAGATTTGATCATTCCCTATAAGGGTGAAAAATGTGATAAGGTCTTAGTCCTTATAATCTAAGTATTTTTAATATTGATCAATTATTTGGTATCCTCGTCATATCAATTACTTTGATGCGATATAGAAGATTCATCGTAAATATCTATATTGTAAAACGCACAAGATTTACCCATTTAACTTAATGAATTAGGTATATCATCTGTTGCCACTCAACTATTTATCAACACTATTATGTTCCTATATAAATTTTGTAATAATGCTATAGACTGTCATTTAATTCTTAACCAACTGTCCCATAATGTTCTTCAGTTTTTGTTTTTTTTTTATTTATTTATTTGATATAATTCGTACATACTGTATCTCAGTCAGACAATTGTTCTGGTATGAGAGATCACAGCAATTATAACTAAAATAAGTCCAAATTTTATGTAACAGACTTACATTGAGACATCTATATAGTTTTACTTATTATTATTATATACACATATATACACAGAAAGCTTGCGTACATCCATACGTACTTATACTTAATAGTAATTAATATTTTAACAGAACAGAAGAAATATAGTATTTAAAATAAGGAATTTTATTTCATTTATCTCTTATGTAATTTTTCAATTTAATTTTGAAATTGTTTAGGTCCGTCATTGTCTCTAGTTGGTCTAGTAGTTTATCGTAAAGGCTGCTTGCACTTCCCAGAGGACTGCAAGTCCTTTGTAGTTTTTACATGTTTCATGTGAAAGCTTCGGTTTTGTCTCGTTTGATGGTCGTGTATATGCTGGTTTGTCTCTATTGTGGTACAAGTTTTGATTTTGTTATTTTTTATTATGAATATTAGTATACATTTTTCTATTTCTATTGTTTTGTGTAGTGATATGTTCTTTGTCTTTTGTAAAAGTTCTTTTGTCGGGGTGAGGTAGGGATAATTGTAAGTTGATTTTACTGCTTTATTTATCATTCTTTGTAGTGTCTCTATATTTTTATTTGTTGTTTGACTCCAAATCGCGATGCCGTACGTTATAATCGGCATTATATGAGATTTTAATATTAGTTCCTTGTTCTTAATTCCAAGATGTTGTATTCTTCTTATGACTCCAGAAAGTGCTGCAATTTTTTGTTTGATTTTTTCAATTTAGTCACTCCTTTCTAGTTTATATTCATACCCAAATATTTAGTTTTTTCTATTTCTTTTATTTCAGTATCGTTGATTAATATTTTTTTATTGCCTATTTTTTAAATTTTGTTACATCGGAAAAATATATAATTAGTTTTATCTGTAATCATAGTGAGTTTATTTTCTGTTAGCCATGTTGTATATTTCTTTGTCATCATTGATTTTTTTTCTAGTTTCTCCAAATCTTTATCAGCGTATATAATCATGGTGTCATCTGCGTACACTATGTATCTACCTTCTAAAATGTTTGTCCTTTAAGTTGTTAATATATATTAAATATAATAGTGGACCTAGGACTGTTCCCTGCGGTACTCCGCATTTGACCAATTTTTTATAGCTGAAGCAATTTCCTATTTTGGTCCTTACTTCTCTTTCAGATAAGAAGTCTTGAATTATGTTGTGCATCGTACCCTCAAGTCTTATATTTCTAAGTTGCTGAAAAAGAATATGGTGGTCTACAGTGTCGACTTAATTAACTTAAATAATTAATTCAACTTAATTAACGAAGATATTGATATTAATAACACTACACTAAATTAAATAATCTCCATCTGCTCTAGTTAACCTTTATATTTCTTTTTAAATATGTTTTATTATTTTATCTTATTTCATGTTATTTCATGAAGTTGTTGTATTATGTATTATTATTATACTATGTTATATTTTATTTGTATTCTATGTATTTTAAAGTCGGCTTGGAAGTATTATGTGCACTGTGTGTTTAAAGAAAATAAAATAAAGATATATATATATATATATATATATATATATATACATATATATGTGTGTGTGTGTGTGAAGAAAATGAAAATTTTTGCATTTCTCGACGTTTTGAAGGTTTCTGAACATTTTGGCATACCTCAGAAAAAATGGATGTGAGTGTGTATGACACCATTTAAGGAACTTAATCTTATTATTCACATTTCTGCAACTGTATCTTAATATTTTTGTTTTGTGTTAGAGTTCAAATACATGATCATACCCATATTCATTGAACGGTCTTATAAATATGTATCTTTTTGATTTACAAGGCCTGTAATCAATCGCTTATGGTGTTTATTGATTATGTTTGAACACAAACAGTTTTCGTCTAGTCAGTATGGGAAATCCTTAGTTTACCTTGTAATTAACATTATATTAGATTTAATAGTATTTTATTTGAAATATGCTCAATTAACATCCAATGCTTCTTTATATTCATAGCAATAATTTGTTAATTAATCCAAATTTACAAAAGAGTAACATTATTTTTTGAGAAAGTCGAATTTAATAAACAACTCTTGCATTAAGAATATTTTTTTACGTAGCTAGTTTAAATAAATATAAATCGGCAATGTAAGTAAATGAAAGTTAATGTAAAATTTAGGAAAATTATCACATAGCAAATTAAGTAAGACAATAGGTAATAACGGGTAGAGATAGTGATTAGTCTTTGGCAAAGACAGGTCCAATTGTTTCGGAGGTACGGAGCTAAATGTGCAAGAAATAAGTTTTTGGGAGAACGAAGCATCTGTTTTGAATGATTCAAAGAACCTTTTGCTTGTAATTGTTTTTCCAGATATATATTTTTTGAATATAGAAAATGATTCAGAATCTAGCTTAAATTCTAACACTCACTTATATACTTTAAATAAATAATTTTAATTTAACAATTCAATCTAAACGATTCTTGAAGACCCTTCATTCTGATTTCCCTTTTCATTAAGTTTTGTTCATTTACTTTTTATGTAAAGTTATCGTCCACTTTATAAGCTCTTATATTTTGTTTACAAAACACTAATAATAAAAGTCACAATAGTTGTAATAATCTATTTGAAAACATTTAATATTTCGTTACGGTACGGGAAGTTCCAACAATTTGCGTTAAGGCACGATGCCATACACCACTAGTTTTTTTTTTATTAAGTTTACACATTACGGAGGATATGGAATTACTATACGCTTTGAATAATATCTAACAATCATTTCTTATCTCATAGTAATTATTTTACAATTAGAAGTAAAAATTTAAAATTTGCGTTTTAATTTTTTTTAAAAACTAGTTGGTATTGGTATTTTGCCTTGAGGCAAGTTAAATGAACTTCCCGATTTGTGTAAATAATCGACTTAATCCATGATAGATAAATTAATTTATGAGTACTTAAAAGTATTCAAAAGCAAATTTTCAAAAATCAATAATTTTTATAATTAAGCTAGTTTTTTGTAGGACTTTGATTGTTTAGCATGTTCATTAAGACCAAGTACTCTATCGTTATACCAAGTAAATCGTCTAATTTTAATTTTAACAAACGTCAACAAAACTACTCATATCTCAAACTTTGATGAATTTTTAAAATTAAACTTACTTGTCGTAAGCACGTAAGCCCGTAATATTTCAGTAAGTTCTATAAGATCATGATATATATCGCCAAAAAAAGTTTCATGAAAATCGACTTAAATTTTTTTTCAACAGTTAATTACAAGAACACTTTTTTCCAAAATTACAAATTACGCACAAAACTAGAAGAAACTATCTTCCTCATCGAGATACATCAAATGGTTTTTAAATTTCTGAAATCGGTTCAGGCGTTTTTGAGCAAACGTCGATGAAAAGTCTAATTTTGGCAAATGCCAAAAAAATAATACTAATTTTTGCAAACTTTGACGAATTTTTAAAGCTAAACGAGTTGTCGTAGGGCCGTAATATTTTAGTACGACCTAGAAGACTATGGTATCTACCGTCAAAAAAATAATAATAAAAATCTACGAAAAAATTCTCTTAATACCTTATTACAAGAAAGCGGCCCGGCCGATCTCTACCAAAAACTAATCAGCACGATTCCCAAGCAATATCTTTCGAACGGTTTTTGAATTTTCAAAATCGATTCAGAATTGCGGGCTAAAACGTAGAGGAAAAATTTTTCACTCTTCTGCGATCTATAAAGAAACGGCTTGGCCGATTGTAGCACAAACCTGACAAACAATAGTCCTCATCGAGATACATCAAATGGCTTTTAAATTTTTGAAATCGATCCAGCCGTTTTTGAGAAAGCGTCGATTTACGGCAAAAAATCTGTTCACACACACATACTTTTTCCAAATTTAGTGTCATTCGATTCAGAATGGCTTGAAACGTCGAGAAAACATAAAATTAGCGAATCGGATTTTTTGATGAAAACATAAACTTCTCTCGTCATTTTGTGTTGACAGTTGAAGCATAGAGAATTAATATGAATTTAAAACGATGGTAAGTGTCTTATCTTTATGAAAACATTATCTATGCCTCTATGGTGTCAAATCACAAATGTCAAAGACTAACAACTAACCTTTTCATATTTTGTAAAAAAAAATTAAGTTATAGTTTATTTTATAATAATTAAGAAAATTTATTATTGGTTGAAGTTATTGATTAAATAGTATGCCACAATTTTCATCTTTTTTATTGAATGAGCATAGTGAAACTATTTAGAAATGTCTGAAGAAGCTACTATGCCTATGAATGATCTGAAAATAAAAATCGAGCCATCCGAATATTCAGTAGAAGACATTAAAGTTGCAACTGAGAAGGAATTTGATGTCCTCGATGGTATTGTTAATTTTGAATCGTGTGATGAAGCATGTCTGGAAAGATTCATGAATTCTGATGTAGCGATTGAAGAAGAAATCAAACAGGAGTTAATTGAGACACCCTCTTATGAAAGTGATGGTGATGGTGAAATACCTTTTGTATGTAATATCTGTAATAAAATATTTACCACAACTTATCTATTAGATCAGCACATTTGTGATAATACCATAGAACAACCTTTGAACTTTAAAGAGTCTTATAACCTAAAACAAAATACGATTGCTGATTCTGAAAAGCGTCCTCATACATGTGTAATATGCGATAAGTCATTCAAAAGATTGAGTGCTCTGCGATTACATATGGGCATACATTCTTTAGAACTTCGATATAAATGTGAAATATGCCACAAAGGATTTCATTTCTTATATTCTTTAAAATATCATATGCGTTCTCATACCGGAGAATATCCCTATAAATGTGTATTATGCGATAAGAAATTCACACGTTCAAGTGGTATAAAAACTCATATGCGTATCCATACAGGAGAGCGACCTTATAAATGCAAAATATGCGATAAGACGTTTGCAGTGTCAGGTGCATTAAACAAGCATATGCGTATTCATACAGGAGAGCGTCCTTACAAATGTGAAGTATGTGACTATGCCTTCAGACAATGGGATCATTTAAAAAGTCATAGGAATACTCATAAAAAAGAGTATCCTTATAAATGTGAAATTTGTGATGAAATTTATTCTAGTAAAAAAGGGTTGGTTGATCACAAACGTGTAAATAACTGTAAAAAATTTTTGTGAGCCATAAAATGTTAAAGTCGCTGTGCTTCATGTGATATATTTATGTTTTTATTATAAAATAGGTACAGCTGTAACATCAAAATTAGATAATATAGACATTAATATGAGTATTAGGTTATTTATTCGTATGAGATTATATTATTATTATTATGAGATTATATTCTGAAAATATGAAAAAATAAATTATGTCTTATGTAATCTATATGTCTTGTTTGTAGTTTTAGCCTCCTTTCAGTGGAACTAGTTGGTATTGGTTTTTTGCCTTGAGGCAAGCTACATGAACTTTCCGATATGTGTAAATAATCGACTTAATCAATAAAAATAAATTTATTTATGAGTGATTAAAAGTATTTCGAGTGGATTTTTTACACATAATTGAATACGAATGAACACGTTTACTCGGAGTATTTTCTTAAAGCAAATTTTCAAAAACAATTAATTTTTATAAATGAACCTGTTTCCGTATGATTTTAATGGTTTAGTTTGTTCATTAAGACCAAGTACTCTATCGCTATACCAAGTAAATCATCTAATTTTAATTTTAACAAACGTCAAAAGAACTACACATTTTCTCAAACTTTGATGAATTTTTTAAATTAAACTACTTGTCGTAAGGTCGTAATATTTCAGTAAGTTCTATAAGACCATGATACATATCGCCAAAAAAAGTTCCATGAAAATCGGCTTAATTTTTTTTTTGCTAGTTAACAAGAAAACGGGTCGGTAGATTTTCACTTAAAACTAATCAGTATCATTCCCAACTAATATTTTTTGAACAGTTTTGATTTTTTAAAATCGATTCGATAGTATGAGCTTAAATGTGGACGAAAAGCTTAACACTTTTTTTCCAAATGACAAAGAAACGGCTTGTCTAATCGTGTCGCAAAACTGACGAACAATAGTCCTCATCGAGATACATCGAGTGGCTTTTAAATTTTTGAACTCGGTCTAGCCGTTTTTGAGAAAACGTCGATTTACAGCAAAAAATCTGTTCACATACACACACACACATACTTTTTCCAAATTTGGTTTCATTCGATTCAGAATGGCTTGAAACGTCGATAAAACATAAAATTAGCTAATCGGATTTTTTTTATGAAAACACAAACTTCTCCTTCGGAAAGTTAAAAATATATTGAAACCACGAATAATACAAAAGTTTTTTCAATAAACTTACGTTTCTTACACTCCACAGATTTTTCATTTGTTTTATTATTTTCGTACGTTTTCGCCACGTATACTCACGCGACACGACGATCAATCACAATCGACCCGTATAGAAGTGATCGAGCGAATGACGAGCCATGAGCGTAACGCTCTTCCGTTGCATTTTCACAGATTTACTCCCTAGACGTGCCTAAAGAAGTTATATTCCAATAAATAAACTAGTAGTGTATGATATCGCCTTAAAGCAAATTGTATACTAAATGAATACTCAATGTTTTCAAATAGATTATTATAAGTACTGTAATATTTATAATTATATAAACCGAATTACAAATTTAATATTATTTATTTAAAGTATATAAGTGAGCTTCAGAACTTTATCCAACATTAAAATAATAATCTGAATTATTTTCGATATACAAAAAAAAATTAATTTTGAAGTAAAAAAAAACAAAAGTAATTGTTTTGTCAACACAAGCAGAAAGTTTTTTGAGTCATCCAAATCGGATGCTTAGTTCTCTCAAAAACTGCCATTTTTTGTACATTTAGCTCTGTATCTTCGACATGGCTGGACCTGCCTTTGCCAAAAACTATTCTCTGCACATATCCCAATCAATAGGAATTGAATTATTCAAATCGGTTAATCCGTGCGCCCGAAAACGTGGACTTAATATAGCAGACACACAAAACACACACACATCCATTTTTTGTTAGGTATGCCAAAATGTTCAGAAACCTCTAAAACGAGAAGATATGCAAAAGTTTTCATTATCGAGTTTACGGGAAAGTTAATAACTAGTTGCAAGTTGTATTTTGCCTTAAGGCAAGTTGCATGAACTTTCCGATACGTTTACATAATCAACTTAATCAATAAGAATTGAGATTTAGCTATTTATGTAAAATATTGACTGTTTATTTTAAAAAATTCACTTTACTAAAAAATGATCTGCGCAATTTCCAATTGATGTCTTTCAGGCAGAATGGGATTGTATAAATTGAATCAATTTGTTTAATACAATTTATTCCATCCTTTTTGTATACAAAAATATATTCTGAAAGTGATTTTATTTAAGTGCGTACGTCAACTGCAATCAGTAGCTACCTACAAAACGCATCCAGACTCGGCATAGATTCTGATTAGAATCACTAAGTTCACAGCGAAATTCTGATCTTTGATGAATTTTTATAATTCTACCGCTTATCACAGGCCTATAATATTTTAGTATGTAATTTCAGACTATGATATATCTATTGTTGTGCAAAGTTTCATCAAAATGGTAAAAACATATTTATTTACACAAGTTCATACATTTGAAAGTTTTTTGAATCATTCAAATCGGATGCTTAGTTCTCCCAAAAACTGCAATTTTTGGACCTGCCTTTTCCAAAAGCTGATCACCACTTCTCCTCGTCATTACGAATAGAATGTATTTTGGACCATTCAAATCGGATACTCCGTTCTCTCAAAAACTCGATTTTTATTTTCTGCACTTTTTGCTCCGTAACTCTAAAAAGTTGGAACGATCTTTGCCAAAAACTAATCAGCACATCTCCATATCAATAGAAATCGAATGTTTTTCGAACCAGACCAGAACCAGACGAAAAATTGTATCCACACACACATCCATTTTTTGCCTGGGATGCATAAAGGCATTTCCTTCGATATACAAAAAAAAAACATCAATTTTTTTCTGAGGTATGCCAAAATATTCAAAAACCTTTGAAACGTGAAGATATGCAAAAGTTTGGTTTGGTTTAGTTTGGTTTTTGGACAATTACAATAACTTACCCTAGAGAAGTTAATAATTAACTTCCCGAAGAAGAAGTTTGTTTTCATCAAAAAATTCGATTCGCTAATTTTATGTTTTCTCGACGTTTCAAGCCATTCTGAATCGAATGAGACTAAATTTGAAAAAAGTATGTGTGTGTGTATGTGTGCGTGTGCGTGTATGTGAACAGATTTTTTGCCGTAAATCGACGTTTTCTCAAAAACGACTGGACCGATTTCAAAAGTTTAAAAGCCATTCGATGTATCTCAATAAGGACTAGTGTTTATCAATTTTGCGCGACGATCAACCAAGCCGTTTCTTTGTAAGTAGCAGAAAAGTGAAAAATTGTTCGTCCACGTTTAAGCCCGCAATTCTGAATAGATTTTGAAAATTCAAAAACCGTTTGAAAAATATTGGTTCGGAATCGACCTGGTTAGTTTTTGGTAAAGATCGGCCTGGCCGTTTCCTTGAAATAAACTGTTAAATTTTTTTTTCGCAATTTCTATGATTTTTTTTTGACGGTAGATACCACGGCCCTACGAAAAGTCGTTTAATTTTAAAAATTAGTATCATTTTTTTGGCACTTGCCAAAATTAGAAATTTCATTGACGTTTGCTCAAAACCGACTGAACCGATTTCAGAAATTTAAAAGCCATTTCTTTGTAATCTGGGAAAAACTGTTAAACTTTTCTTCCACATTAAAGCTCATACTACCTAACCGATTTTAAAAAATCAAAAACTGTTCGAAAGATATTAGTAGGGAATGATGCTGATTAGTTTTAGGTGAAAATTTACCGAGCCGTTTTCTTGTACTTAACTGTTGAAAAGAAAATTAAGCCGATTTTTATTGAACATTTTTTGGCGATATATATCATGGTCTTATAGATCTTACTGAAAATTTACGGCCTTACGACAAGTAGTTTAATTTTAAAAATTCATTAAAGTTTGAGAAAATGAGTAGGTTTTTTGACGTTTGTCAAAATTAAAATTAGACGATTTACTTGGTATAACGATAGAGTGTTCGTTCGTTTTCAATGATGTATGATAAATACACTCAAAATACTTTTAATCATTCATAAATTAATTTATATTTTATTGATCAAGTCGATTATTTGCACATATCGGGAAGTTCATGTAACTTGCCTCAAGGCAAAATACCAATACCAACAAAATATACACAAATACTGGTATAAAAAATAATTTTTGACAATACATAGTGTAATAAAAATGTTTAAGAATCAATTTATTTTATCAAAATAATAGACAAAAAATTTGATATAAATTTATTTATAGTAGTAATAATGGCAATAACAAAACCTATAACAATGGTATAACAAAACATAAATATATTCATCAATATTTCACATACTGGATCAGTTTTCTACTTATTACTATTTCATTGATTTTCATCATTTTTCTTTTCATGTTTTGCCATATGAGTCCTCAAACCGTTTGCTTGAGTATATCCCTTATTGCATATTTCGCATTTATAAGGGCGCTCTTCGGAATGCATGAGCATGTGCTGTTTCAGATTACCTGATCTTGTAAATGCCTTATTGCATATTTTGCATTCATAAGGCCGTAGCCCATAGTGAATATGCATGTGATTTTTCAAAGTGTCCGAATGTCTAAGACTTTTATTACATATTTCACATGTAAAAGGGCGTTCACCTGTATGGATACGCATGTGATTTTTCAAAGTGTCCGAATGCCTGAGACTTTTATTGCATATTTCACATTTAAAAGGGCGTTCACCTGTATGGATACGCATGTGCCTTTTTAAATGTTTTGATTCTTTGAAAGTGCTTTCACATAGAATGCATGGGAAAGAGTATGGTTTGGTGTGAATTACCATATGTCTTTTTAAATACTTTGAAATATTAAATATTTTATCGCATAATTCACATTTGTATTGACCCTCTTTGGTGTGAATAAGGTTGTGCTGTTTTAAATATCTTGGTGAACGGAAGGCTTTGTTACATACCTCACATTTGTAAGAAAGCTCTCCTGTATGGACAAACATGTGGTTTTTTAAATTATTCTTTTGATTGAATGCTTTATTGCATATTTCACATTTAAAAGGATGCTTCCCGGTGTGAATGATCTTGTGCGTTTTCAGATTACCTAATTGTGTGAATGTTTTATTGCATATTTCACACTTGAAAGGCCGTTCTGTGCTGTGAATGAAACTGTGTCTTGCCAATAATGATGGTTTGTTAAAAGTCTTATCACATACATCACATTTATAGGGTTTTTTGCTTTGACTGGGTATGTGATCAACCATGTGCTCCTTTAAAGAATGGGATTCTTTAGAAAAAGGCAGTGCCACAATTAGTTCGTGTTTGACTTCTTCTTCAATTTCTATTTTGGAGTTCATGAATCTCTCCAGGCAAGTTTTGTCATCCTCTAAATAAGATTTAGTCTTAACAATACCATCATCATCAAGATCATCAGATTCATTCTCTAAATACGGTTCAGACTTAACAATACCATCATCATCAAGATCATCAGATTCATTCTCTAAATACGGTTCAGATTTAACAATACCATCATCATGAAGATCATCAGATTCATCCTCTAAATACAATTCAATTTTAACAATACCATCATCATCAAGATCATCAAAATATTCTTCCTCTAAATATGCTTCAGATAAATATGGTTCAGATTTAACAATACCATCATCATCAAGATCATCAAATTTATCCTCTAAATGCGATTCAGATTTAAGATCTTCAAGTTCTTCCTTGACTTCACACTTAATGTCCTTCTCTGAATATTCTGGTGGTTCAACTTTAATTGTCTGATTAATTGTTTCTTCTGACATTTTTATATTCAAATTAATTTTTGTAATGAATTTAATTAAATTTCCATTTACTACAGGAATTGATTATTGACATTGGTTGTTTGACGTTTGTGTTCAACTCTTTTGTCCATAGATAAGTCAATAGATAGAAAACTTGGGGAATATTTCGTAGTCAACGTAATAATTGCACATTACGACGCTAGAGGCGCTAGTGTCAGCGCCTAGTAGCGTCCAGGTTCCAGAATTTTATGCAAAAGGTTTAAATACCAGATAATTTTGGTTCATGTACATGCCGATATATGAGTTCAAACCATAGATCTTATACAATACATGGACTGCTAGTTGAGCGCAAAAAAAGTGTCGAAAGATGTTGTATGGTATGAGGGCATATGAGGGTAATTTCGCGGCCGAGATATGTCAAATACGAACACGAGCTTTACCGGGATTAGTCGAATGCTCTCGATCGCTTAAATTTTGAGATGTTTGATCGCTCGTGTTTTTTACCTAAAAGAGGATAAAAATACGCGTTTTAAATTTGTTTGAAGCAGACAAAATCTAATAAGAAGTAAAATGTCTTCTAAAATGCGTTTGGTCTGTGGTAAAATGTACTTAACAAATAGAATGCACCATGAAGAACATAAAAAAGCAAAGTTGATAAACATGTACGCCACTTTCACACGAAAATTGTGCTTTTTAAACACCAATAATAAATATATAACATTTAAACAAATATTTCATTATTTCTTTCTAATTTCCCATAATAGCTCGAGCCAACTGTTCTTATTTTCAGTGAATTTAAATATTTTTTTAATTTTTTTTCTAATTTTCCTTGAACACTTTGTATACCTAAAATAAATAAATAAATAAATAGTTCATTACATTCATTAGATCAACATAAATTGTATATTATATAATATTTTCCAAACAATTTCGAACACACGGACTTTCATTTGACGTTTAAGCGATCGAGTTTAACATATCTCGGCCGCGAAATTACCCTCATATGCCCTCATACCATAGAACATCTTTTGACACTTTTCTACTTGAGAAATGTATGGGGACTAGCAGTCCATGAAATTGTATAAGGTCTATGGTTCAAACCCATTTATATCTTACTTATATGTAACAAGGTAACAAGCCTAATATATAAATATACAAAAATCAGATAAAGAGATCCATGCAATTTCTTAATTATAAATATGATACACATGTTTAAACGTTAATAATTTGATATATAATTGATATTACAAAAACATAATAAGACTCTAAAGACTTATCATTCAATGAATAGTTTCTTTTTGAAAACATTACGATCTTGCTACTACTATCATTACTATCTCCTTCATGAAAATATTTTGTTTCATAAATTAGTGGCGGGTCTGCCAGAATTTTTTACATTTATCTCATCAATAACTGAATTAGTGATGAATATTAATAAATAACTATGAATATAAAGTAATAATGCGAAATAAATGTGAAAATAATGAAATCAATTAGTTGTAAGTCCAAACATCCAAGCTATGTATCATATATATTAATTAATAATGATTCTAAAATTGTAGGTTGAAGAGTGGCAAATGATATAAGACTTGATTTGTCTTTTGCCCAGATTAATCCCAGAAAATTTTTTCTGAGAATATAGGGAAAGGCTTGAAAATCCACAACAATGCATGCAGCATATATAGTGCGCTTGAAATTACACATGATATATTAGTTATTATAGAAGAAGAATAGAAAGAATGCTAAACAAAGTCATTTTGAAAATATATATTCAACCCCTGGAAAAAAAATACAAATAGACAAAAATATAATTTACGCTTTTATATATAATATGTTATTTATAATTTTAACAGATTACACATCCATGGTTAATGTACATCGGAATTTGCGGTTGCATCATACTATTAGCGCCCTGGCCGCCGCGATGGTTTTTCTGCCCACCGCGGTTGCTTCCACAGCCGCCGCGGTTGTCTCCGCGGTAATTTCCGCGGCCGCCGCGTTTGTTTACGCGGCTGTTGTTGCCTTTAACGCCGCCGTTGTTGCCCGTACCGCCTCCGTTTTTGCCCTTACCGCCTACGTTTTTGCCCCTACCGCCGCGGTTGTAGACTGTACCGCCGCGGTTGTAGACTGTACCGCCGCGGTTGTAGACTGTACCGCCGCGGTTGTAGACTGTACCGCCGCCGTTGTTGCATGTACCGCCGCCGTTGCTGCCTGCACCGCCGCTCCAAGTCGCATCGCCTGCGGACTAAAATAATATTTAATAATATTATAATAGCTGATTGCTATGTATTTATGTATTATTATAAAAATTTAACATTACCTTTTTATAACTATATATCCTTATTTTCTTATCTTTGAAAAAATGGAGGAAATATTCCTCCACGTTTTCCCTGTCTTCGAAAAAAACGGGCAGGAGCGACAACACACGGTCCTCCTTTTCATACATCAATTTTATTGTGTCGAAGCATAATCCAACCGCCTTCATTTTGTAACCTATTATATAAAAAAAACATATAATGAAAAATCCCTTAACTATACCAATATACATGTATATATATATATATATATATATATATATATATATATATATATACATAAAAAGAAATATATACCTTGGTTATGCTCCGACACCCCACACAACAATACTGTGTGTCCAAGAAAGGAAGTCACCGATGTTACATCGCCAAATTTCATCGGTCTTGACTTTGCGCTCGAGCTATAATAATAAAAATGTTTTAATTATACACATGTCCTGAAGAATAAAAAGTGGATTTAATTTACTTACACAAGCCTGTCCTCCCAATACGATTCTGTATGGCAATCTGTTAATACCAGCAGCACTTCTTCTTTGGGTATTTCACTCGCCAGAGTGAAATTCCTCAATGCTGCCCCCATTTTATTTAAGAATGCTAGAAAAATAAAAACTATGATAATAGAAACGAAGAAATAGTTTTCAAATAAAATTATATATGTAACTTTAATAATACGCTATACATGAATCAAATCATGAATTTTTGATAGTTTTCAAACAAAATTATATCTGTAATTGTAATACAGTAAATATACTATACACTATATATATATCAATACAAATCATGTATTTTTCGCACTTAATAATACTATCAAGAACCTCAAATTCGGGCTAAATGACCGACTGGTTAAAAGCCTTAAATAAATAAATAAATAAGAACCTCAAATTCATCATCAATCTCACTCACTTTCAACGCATTCTACAGAACCAGTATATTCTGGTACCGATTCAGTTTTAACAAAACCACCGAGACTATCAAATTTATTCTCAAATTCAAGTTTAACATGATTTACTGAATATTCTGGTGACAGTTCAGATTTAATAGCACCATCAAGACTATCAAACTCTTCCTTAATTTCACGTTTAATGTATTCTTCTAAATATTCTGGTGGTTCTGTTTTAATTTCCTGCACGTGCATAAAGCAAGTCGCTTCTTCGGACATTATTATATAGTAATATATAACACACTATATGCCCGTTAATTAATTAAATGTTAATTTATGCCCGTTTATTGATTAATTACACTGCACGCCCGTTGATAAATTAATTAAATATTAATTTTAAAAATATTTCAAAACAGTAAAACACTTGTTGGTTAGAACGCATGCGGCACTTTGAACACGACCACACGACCCTTCTCGCAGTAGCACATGATGTCTTCAGGCAGTGTTGCCAACATTAAAACATAAAACCAAAAGTGTAACTATAAATGCAGGTGCACCAACAACGAAAAGTAAAAACCTCCACCATGTAAGGAGAAGAAATCTTGCAACTGTCAACCTTACTGTTTGACGTATAGATAAGGTTAATATTTGGATTTCAATTGATCTTAAAATGTTGAAATGCGGTATAAATGAAGAGATTTTATTTAATTTTTTAATGCAGTTTTGAGCTACAAACATGCTTTTGATGTTTGATTGATATTTGAACTGGATAAAACATAGTTTAAATTTCACCAGTACTTGTTTCTACCTGAACAATAGGTTTCTACACTTAGGAATACTTGAACTTTTTTTTTAAACAAAGGAGTAACTATAGTGGGGCGCATGGCATCGTGCCTTAAGGCAAATAGCTGGAACTTCTTGTACCAAAAATTATTTTTTTCTTCAAAAGATTAACATTTTTGAAAAAAATTTACTCTGAAAAAAATAGATTTTTGTGAAACTATAAATTTTTGACAAAAATTTACTTTTTTTTGAAAAAAAAAAGACTTTTTGAAGAAAAAATTATTTTGAAATATTCTGGAAATTCTAAACTTTTTTCAAAGCAATCGTACTGCTTTAACTGCATAGAGACGAAATATCGAAGCGCGTAAGCGCCGCGTCGCCGTCTAACGAATAAACATTGGTACGGAACCAATTTTACGGAATTTAGTTACCCATAGGAATGTAAACAAAATTTATACTTATTGTTAAAATCTCTATAAAATATACCTATATATATATCTGATAATTTGATGTGCATATGTCTAATGATCATTTTTGACCGCCAAATGGCGTTTTTTTACTTTCTTTACTAGATCTCCGAAACCGCTAGACCTGCCTTCACGGAAATTTGATCAGTTCTTCATCTTGTTAATACAAGTAAAATGTTATTATTCAAATCGGACGCTCCGTTCTCTTAAAAACTGAGTTACCGTTTTTGGCCCTTTTTGCCAAAAACTAATCAGCACGTCTCCTTATCGATGTGAATAAAAAAGCATAATTGAGATGAACTCTTTATTAAAACAAAAATTACCATATCATACGCAATAAATAATTATTTATGATTGTTCATAATAATTTACAATTGACAATCTGTTATTGGACATAATAGTCCATATTAGACAACAGTTAACAAAGCATGAAGAAAACATATTGCATAATGAAGAGAATAATACTTATTAAATAAATCCAAAAACAGCTTGAATAATGAAGATTATATAGATGACATACAAATTATAAACGCTATATTAATCACAAAGAATTTTTATCAAGCTAATATCTTTAATTAGTCATAAAGTATTTAACATTAACAAAGATATGAGTTGAGTAAATGAACATTGAATATTGTGATGTCAATTACAGGATATCACAATATTATTTGATTCATGACAATACTAACTATAATTTTTAGTAAAATCCATACTGATGGGCTTATCATATCCGAAGCCGGATCGGTTAGGATTTAACTCCGCTTCAGTGTAGTAGTATTTTTTCTTTCAAAAATTTAAAATTTTTCAAAAATCTAATTTTTTCAAAGTTTAAAAAAAAATTATCTTTTTTAAAAAAAATTCATTTTTGGTACCAGAAGTTCCAGCAATTTACCTTAAGGAACGATGCCATACACCACTAGTTATATTCAGTGTTGACAGTGTTTTTTCAAAAATCACGAACAAATTATTATTCTGTTTTTATAACAGGTATTTATGGTGTCACAATGTTGGCACCCTAGAAAATGTGAGAATTTAATATATTTATGGTTGGTACTATTCGTGACTGTTTCTCTTTTATCTATGGTCTCCTATCCTGTCTCTTCTTTTATCTATGGTTTTGTTATTGTTTATGTCAAAGTGCCGCGTGCGTTCTTAACCTACAAATGGTTTGTAATATCGTTTAAATTAATATTTAGTTAATTAATTAACCGGCATGCAGTGTAATTAGTTAATAAACAGGCATACATTAATATTTAATCAATTAATTAACGGACATACAGTGTGTTATATATTACTATAATAATGTCTGAAGAAACGACTTGCTTTATGCACGTGCAGGAAATTAAAACAGAACCACCAGGATATTTTGAAGAATATATTAAACTTGAAATTGAGGAAGAGTCTGGTAGTCTTGATGGCGTTATTAAATCTGAACTGTCACCAGAATATTCAGTAAATGATATTGAACTTGAAATTGAGGATCAATTTGATAGTCTTGATGGTGTTGTTAAGTCTGAATCGTGTCCTGGGGATGATGACGACACGTGCCTGGAAAGATTCATGAAGACCGAGGTAGAAATTGAACAGGAATTCATTCAGACAACCCTTTATAAATATGACAGGTTTAAAAAGAACATTGTATCTCATGATCTTAAATGTACATATTGTCCAAAGACTTTTCCAGATTCAAGTCATTTGAAGATACATCTCAGAAACCACGCTGGGGAAAAGCCTTGTGATACATCCAGAAAGTCAGTCAATCAATCGGATAATTTGGAATGGACAGTTGGTCAGGAAGAGTCTGACAGTATTGATGGCATTATTAAAACTGTATCGTCACCAGAATATTCTGTGGAATACTTTAAAAGTGAGATTGAGGATGAATTTGAGGATCTTGATACTATTATTAAGTGTGGATCCTTTTTAGAGGATGATGAGAATGTTCTGGAAAGATTCATGAAGACTGAGGTAGAAGTTGAAGAGGAATCCATTCACACAACTCCTTATAAATCTGATGGGTTTAAAAAGCACATTGTATCTCATGATCTTAAATGTACATATTGTCCAAAGACTTTCATTGATTCAAGTCATTTGAAGAATCATCTCAGAAGTCATGCCAGGGAAAAGCCTTGTGATATATCTGGTAAGTTGTTCAATCAATTGGATAATTCTGAATGGACAGTTGGTCTGAAAGAGTCTGACAATGTTGATGGCATTATTAAAACTACATCGTCACCAGAATATTCTGTAGAATACATTAAAAGTGAGATTGAGGATGAATTTGAGGATCTTGATTGTGAATCCACTAAGTTGTTCAAGCAATCAGATAATTTGGAATGGACAGTTGGTGAACGTCGTTATGCTTGCAAGTTATGCAATGGCACTTTTGCCCGATTAGAGATTTTGACCAAACACATGGCTAAGCAGCATAATAAAAAACGCCTATTTAAATGTGAAATATGCAATAGCAAATTCACACGATCCTGCCAATTATCTAAGCACAAGCTTCTTCACAGCGAAAAACTTCATATATGTGAATTATGTGATAAGGGGTTTACACAATTAGAAAGTTTGAAAATGCACATTTATGCACACACTGGAAAACCTGGTTTTAATTGTGAAATATGTGGAAGACATTACAAACAGTCATGCCATCTAAGAAGACATATGATTATCCATACAGGTGAAAGTCGTTATGCATGTAAGTTATGCAAAGGCACCTTTACACGATCAGAAAGTTTGAGGAAACACATGGCACTCCATACAGGAAAACGGCCTTTTAAATGTGAAATATGCAAAAAGACATATATACAGTCGTGCAGTCTGAAAAAGCACTTGCTCGTGCACACTAGACGTTAGTTATAAATATAAAAGGAATTACAAAGCCTGGACACTGAGCTGATGCATTTTAGGTGAAAAGAAATGTCTTTAAGGTGATTGAACACACATAGCAAAAAGATTTTATTTATTTATTTGATATAATTCCTACATACTGTATCTTAGTCAGACAATTGTTCTGATATGAGGGATCACAGCAATTATAACAAAAATAAATCTAAATTTTATGTAACAGACTTACATTAAGACATCTATATATTTTTACTTATTACTATTATATACACATATATACACAGGACGCTTGCGTACATACATACGTACTTATGTATTTAACGGAACAGAAGAAATATAGTATTTAAAATAAGGAATTGTATCTCATTTATTTCATTCATCTCTTATGTAATTTTTCAATTTAATTTTGAAATTGTTTAGGTCCGTCATTGTCTCTAGTTGGTCCAGTAGTTTATCGTAAAGGCTGCTTGCACTTCCCAGAGGACTGCAAGTCCTTTGTAGTTTTTACATGTTTCATGTGAAAGTTTCGGTTTTGTCTCGTTTGATTTTTTTATTTTGAATATTAGTATACATCTTTCTATTGCTATTGTTTTGTGTAGTGGTATGTTCTTTGTCTTTTGTAGTAAGATAATAATAAAGACAATAAATGATTGTATTTGTTATTAGGTAATCAAAGTGATCTATTTGTACAATTAACTAATTTGTTTATGAATAAAAATATATACAATAAAACAATATCATCTGATTATTAACTTTCAGTAGGGTCAGTTTTTTTTGCATATCCTCAGTTTCAGAATTTCTGAACATTTTGGCATACCTCAGAAAAAATGTGTGTGTGTTTTGTGTGTCCACATTTTTTAGATTCCTATTTATTGGGAGATGTGCGGATTAGTTTTTGGCACAGGCAGGTTTAGTCATTTTGAAAATACAGAGTTAAATGTGCAAAAAAGTGCAGTTTTTGAGAGAACTAAGCATCTGATTTGAATTATTCAAAAAACGTTCGGCTTGTTTTAACAAAATAATTGCTTTTGGTAAAAAAATCTTCTCAATGAGCTTATTCTCAATAAGTTTTTCAAATTTTTTTTTTGTTTATAGAAAATAGTTCAGATTTTATTTTTAATTCTGACTAAAGTTCTAATATACTTTCTAAATAATTTCAACTTTGCAACTCTATTTGCAAACATTTACTCGATTTGCCTTAAGGCACGATGCTACACACAACTAGTTCAAAGTCTTTTTTTTTCAAAAAATTTAAAATTTTTCTAAAATCTATTTTTTTCAAAGTTTAAAAAAAAATTAATCTTTTTTAAAAAATTCAATTTTTGATACGGGAAGTTCCAGCAATTTACTTCAAGGCACGATGCCATACACCAATATTTAGTGTTGATAGTTTTTTTTTAAAAAAAATCACGAAAAACTAGTGGGGTGTGTGGCATCGTGCCTTAAGGCAAATTGCTGGAACTTCCCGTACCGTAACGAAATATTCGAGGATTACTGAATGTTTTCAAATAGATTATTATTAATATTGTAACATTGTCTAATATTTATAAGAATTGTTTAAACTGAATTGCAAAGTTGAAATTATTTGTTTAAAGTATATCAGAACTATAGTCAGAATTAAAAATAATATCTGAATTATTTTCGATATATAAAAAATTTACAAAAAAAAGTTGAAACAAAACATTTTTTTTCCCAAATCAATTATTTTGTTAAGACAAGCAGAAAGTTCTTTGAATCATTTAAATCGGACGCTTAGTTCTCTCAAAAACTGCCATTTTTTACACATTTAGCTCCGTATCTTCGAAATGACTGGGCCTGCCTTTGCCAAAAACACGTCTCCCAATCATTACTGATTGAATGTTTGTTAGATCATTCAAATCAGATGCTTCATTCTCTCAAAAACTCGATTTCTATTTTCTGCACTCTTTGCTCTTTATCTCCGTAACTGCCGGACCTGCCTTTGCCAAAAACTAATCAGCTCGTCTTCCTATCAATAGGAATCGAATGTTTTTTGAACCATTCAAATCGGTTGATCCGTGCGCCCGAAACCGTGACTGGAAATTTGTATCCTTACATACATACACACACACATCCATTTTTTCTGAGGTATGCCAAAATGTTCAGAAACCTTCAAAACGTCGAGAAATGTAAAAATTTTCAGTTTCGATTTTTGACCCATTACAATAACTCACCCTACGGGAAGTTAAAAATATTATATTTTTAAGACAGGTATTTATGGTGTTACAATATTGGCACCCTAGACAATATGACAATTTAATATATTTATGGTTGGTACTATTCGTGACTGTTTCTCTTTTGTCTATGTGGTCTCCTATCCTGTCTCTTCTTTTATCTATGGTTTTGTTATTGTTTATGTCAAAGTGCCGCATGGGTTCCTAATCAACAAGTGGTTTGTAACATCTTTGAAATTAATTCTTAATCAATTAACAGACATTAATTAATAAACCGGCATAAATTAATACTTAATTGATTAATTAACGGGCATACAGTGTGTTTTATATTCCATTACAATAATGTCTGAAGAAACGACTTGCTTTATGCACGTGCAGGAAATTAAAACAGAACCACCAGAATATTTAGAAGAAAACATTAAACGTGAAATTGAGGAAGAGTCTGGTAGTCTTGATGGCGTTATTAAATCTGAACTGTCACCAGAATATTCAGTAAATGATATTAAACTTGAAATTGAGGATCAATTTGATAGTCTTGATGGTATTGTTAAGTCTGAATCGTGTTCTGGGGATGATGACGACACGTGTCTGGAAAGATTCATGAAGACCGAGGTAGAAATTGAACAAGAAATAAAACAAGAGCTAATTCAGATGCCCTCTTATAAATGCTACATTTGTAATACATCGTTTAAAAGTTTATACTATTTAAATAAGCATACAACACTTCATAGTCTTAAATGTACATATTGCCCACAGACTTTTCGGCATTCAGGTCATTTACAAAGGCACATCAGAAATCATATTGATGAAAAATCTTCAGCATTCTCTACAAAACAAAAGTTACAATGGCACGTTAGTTGCCATAACGGTACAGACCAATTCCAATGTGATATTTGCGGTAAGACATACAAGATAATAGCCCATATGAAAAGACATATGTTCACTCATGAAGAAGAACCTTGTAAATGTAAAATATGTGGTAAGGTCTTAAGTCAACCACGTAATTTGAAAGCACATATGTATATTCATAACGGAGAAAGTCCTTATGAATGTAAATTATGCAAAAAGACTTTTACACTGCCAGATAGTTTGACAAGACACATGATTATTCACACTGGAGAACAATCTCATCAATCATATAAATGTGAAATATGCAATAAAACATATTCTCATCCAAGTAGCTTAGCAAAACACAAGCTTAATCATACCGGGAAACGCCCCCATGAATGTCTAATATGCAATAAGACATTCACACGGAGAGATTGTTTGAATAATCACCTGCTCATTCATTCCGGGGAACGACCTCATGAATGTAAGATATGTAAGAGGACATTTGCACGAAGGGATTGTCTGAAATTGCACGAAGCCACTCACATCAGAAAGTAATTATGAATGAGGGATTTATGCAGGTGGAGACTCAGGTAAAACATGAGTCCTTTTAATGACAAACTTACATTTGTAATTTTACAGTTATATTATTTATACAATTATATAATTTGTTAAACAGTAAAAGATATATGATTATAACCTATGCGTTTTATTTGCCTATAAACATCAATTAGTTCAAATGTTCTTGAAATTTTTACTCTTAAAATTAGTTCTTTTACTATTAGTTTACTTCTCATAGAGTAAGCAGATCCAGTCGCTTCGGAGATACGGAGCAAAGAGTGCAGAAAATAGAAATCGAGTTTTTGAGAGAACCGAGTATACGATTTAAATGATTCAAAAAACTTTCTGCTTATGTTGACGAAACGATTGCTCTTGAGGAAAGATTTTTTTTAATTAATTTTTTTTAATTTACAAAAAATTAATTAAAATTTTTGAATACCCTATTATAGTACGGGAAGTTCCAGTAATTAGCCTTAAGGCACGATGCCATACACCACTAGTTTTTTTTCAATTTGATAATCAGTTTTCTACAGTTAATTGTTTCTGTAGAGTTGTTTTCTGAAGTATGCCAAAATGTTCAGGAATCTTCAAAACGCGAATATATGCAAAAATTTTCATTTTCGATTTTTTTGCGATTACTATAACATACCCTAGGGGAATTTAAAAATCAATGCCATTTGGCAGTCAAAAATGAACATTAGACATATGTTTATCGTTTTATCAGATATTTTATAAATACTATAATAATAGGTACAAATGTGTACATTTACATGGATTCCGTACTAGCATTATACTCTTCTTTTATCTATGCGTACTAATGTTTACACGATAGACGACTACGCGGCGCTTACGCGCTTTAATATTTTATTAACTTCCCGAAGGAGAAGTTTATGTTTTCATCAAAAAATCCGATTCGCTAATTTTATGTTTTCTCGACGTTTCAAGCCATTCTGAATCGAATGAGACCAGATTTGGAAAAAGTATGTGTGTGTGTGTGTGTGTGTGTGTATGTGAACAGATTTTTTGCTGTAAATCGACGTTTTCTCGAAAACGGCTGGGTCGATTTCAAAAATTTAAAAGCCATTCGATGTATCTCGACGAACTATTGTTTGTCAGTTTTGTGCGACGATCGGCCAAGCCGTTTCTTTATAAATGGCAGAAAAGTGAAAAATTTTTCGTCTACGTTTTAGCCCGCAATTCTGAATCGATTTTGAAAATTCAAAAACCGTTCGAAAGATATTGGTTGGGAATCGTGCTGATTAGTTTTTGGTAGAGATCGGCCGGGCCGTTTTCTTGTAATAAAGTTTAAAAAAAAAAAAATTCGACGATTTTTATGATTATTTTTTTGACGATAGATACCATAGTCTTCTAGATCATACTAAAATATTACGGCCCTACGACAACTGGTTTAGCTTTAAAAATTCGTCAAAGTTTGCAAAAATCAGTATGGTCTTTTTGGCATTTGTCAAAATTAGACTTTTGATCGACGTTTTCTCAAAAACGCCTGAACCGATTTTAGAAATTTAAAAGCCATTTGATGTATTTCGTTGAGGACTATCGTTTGTCAGTTTTGTGCAACGAACGTCCACATTTAAGCTCATCCTACCGAACCGATTTTAAAAAATCAAAAACTGTTCGAAAGATATTAGTTGGGAATAATACTGATTAATTTTAGGTGAAAATCTACCAAGCCGTTTTCTTGTAATTAACTGTTGAAAAAAAGTGTTAAGTTTTCGTCGACATTTAAGCTCATCCTACCGAACCGGTTTTAAAATATCAAAAACTGTTCGAAAGATATTAGTTGGGAATGGTACTGATTAATTTTAGGTAAAAATCTACCGAGCCGTTTTCTTGTAATTAACTGTTGAAAAAAAAATTAAGCCGATTTTCGTGGAACTTTTTTTGACGATATACATCATGGTCTTATAGCACTTACTGTAATATTACGGCCTTACGACAAGTAGTTTAATTTTACAAATTCGTCAAAGTTTGCTAAAATTATTATTGTTTTTTTTTAAAGTAGGATTGATGAAGTATATTATTTACACTTTTTTTTTTTTGATTAAGTCGATTATTTAAATACATCGGGAAGTTCATGTAACTTGCTTCAAGGCTAAATACCAACCCAACTAGTTAACTTCCCGTAGGGCAAGTTATAGTAATCGCAAAAAAATCGAAAATGAAAATTTTTATATATCTTTACGTTTCAGAAGTTTTTGAACATTTTGGCATACCTTAGAAAAAATGGATGTATGTGTGTGTGTGTGTGTGTGTGTGTGTGTGTGTGTGTGTGTGTATGTACGTGTGTGTATGTATGTGCGGATACAAATTTTCGTCGACGATTTCGGGAACACGGATCAACCGATTTGAATAATTCAAAAAGCATTCGATTTGTACTGATAAGGAGACGTGCTGATTAGTTTTTGGCGAAGGCAGGTCTAGCTGTTCCGAAGATACGGGGCAAAAAGTGCCGAAAACGGTAACTCAGTTTTTAAGAGAACGGAGCGCCCGATTTTAATATTTCAAAAAACATTTTACTTGTATTGACAAGATGAAGAATTGATCAAATTTTTATGAGGGCAGGTCTAGCGGTTTCGGAGATCTAACAAAAAAAGTAAATAAAAAAGCCATTTTGCGGTCAAAAATGATCATTAGACATATGCACATCAAATTATCAGATATTTTATAGAGATTTTAACAATAAGTATAAATTTTGTTTACATTCCTATGGGTTCCGTACCAATGTTTATCCGTTAGACAGCGACGCGGCGCTTACGCGCTTTATATTTTGTCTCTATGCATTTAAAGCAGTACGATTGCTTTGAAAAAAAGTTCAGATTTTCCAAAATATGTCAAAATAAAGAAAACATTTTTTTTTTCAAAAAGAAAAAAATTATCTAAAAAAATTTTTTTCAGATTTTTTTTTTTTATTTTTTTTTTCAAGAAAAAGTAATTTTTTGTCCAATTTATAGTTTCTCAAAAATCTTATTTTTGCGAAGTCAAATTTTTTCAAAAATGTTAATCGTTTTTAAAAAAAGAATAATTTTTGGTACGGGAAGTTCCAGCAATTTGCCTTAAGGCACGATGCCTTAATTGCCTTAAGACAGAATTCCACTTACAGCTAGTTTTTTATTTTATTAGCTCTAGTAGATACGTCACTGGAGGTATCTACTAATTTGTAAACAGTTAATTGTAAACAACTTGTCGGCATTCTCTGATAAATGTAATTATATTTATAGAATAAAATTAAACTAGCTGTAAGTGGAATTCTGTCTTGAGGCAATTATGGCATCGTGCCTTGAGGCAAATTGCTGGAACTTCCCGCACCGTAACGAAATGTTCGAGGAATATTGAATGTTTTCAAATAGATTATTATAAATATTGTAACATTGTCTAATATTTATAAGAATTATATAAACCGAATTGCAGAGTTGAAATTATTTCTAAAGTATATTAGAACTATAGTCAGAATTAAAAATAAAATCTGAAATATTTTCGATATACAAAATACTAAAAAAAAAAAAAAAAAAAAAAAAAAAATCCAAAATCAATTATTTTGTTAAGACAAGCAGAAAGTTCTTTGAATCATTTAAATCGGACGCTTAGTTCTCTCAAAAACTGCCATTTTTTACATATTTAGCTCCGTATCTTCGAAATGGCTGGGCCTGCCTTTGCCAAAAACTAATAAACACTTCTCCCAATCATTACTAATTGAATGTTTTTTAGATCATTCAAATCGGATACTCCGTTCGCTCAAAAATTCGATTTCTATTTTCTGCACTCTTTGCTCCGTATCTCCGAAACGGCTGGACCTGCCTTTGCCAAAAACTAATCAGCTCTTTTCCCAATCAATAGGAATCGAATGTTTTTTGAACCATTCAAATCGGTTGATCCGTGCGCCCTAAAACGTGACTGGAAATTTGTATCCACACATACATACACACACACACACACACACACACACATCCATTTTTTCTGAGGTATGCCAAAACGTTCAGAAACCTTCAAAACGTCGAGAAATGTAAAAATTTTCAATTCCGATTTTCGGCCCATTACAATAACTTACCCTACGGGAAGTTAATAATGATAAAAATATTTCATCAGTAGAATAAATAAATAATAATTTAATTTACTGATTTTTTTAATTATTTTTCGTCATACTAAAGACGGACATTATTATAAAGACATGATTTGAGTCCATTACCCATCAAACAAAATTCCAGCCGGAAACAATGACCAAGGGAAAAAATTATATTAACTTTTCGATACTTGTAAATTAAAGGAAATATTGTTGGAAATTAGCTAGGACTCAACACTTCTTTTGATTTTTACATGAAAAGGTTACTATAAATACACACATATGGCTTGGGAACCCATGGTGATTCATCAACACCACAAAATATATATTATTCATTATTTCAGCATTGTATTAATTAAGTTTGCAAAATAAAAATAAAAACGCTCTTTGATAACTTTTATTTTTCTCTTAATTATTCAATTGAAATTTAATGTAAAATAATAAAATTGTATTCTTCAATATTTCAGCCTTGTATTAATTAAACTGTTTGCAAAATATTTTTTTGCTTTTAATCAGTAAAATTTGATAATATAGCAATTTATTGACTTCTAAATTTTCTTTTTGCTAAACATAGAACTTTTACAACAATTTAAATACTCCGAATTGATTTTTTTCCTAATGATACGATTATGATACTTAGAGACGGATTCTGTCGCATAACAGAAAAATTTTACGGCAAGGCCATGTTATGAAGAACTTTCCATACTAATATAGACAAAAGCCATGCGGTCGGTGTGCAGTCAGGCAAATTTCACAGGTTATCTGATAGTAAACATAACCAAGAAGCCGCACAAATATTAAAAAAGCGATGTCAGATAACAGTTTGTTTCTGATACAGCTTTATAACATATGAGTGACGTTTGCAGTTTATGTGTAAAACGCCTGAATGAACAGAAAATACATGATATTTTGACAGTTTCAGTCGGAGCGTAACATGGCCTTGCCATAACATTTTTCTGTTGTGCGGCAGAATTGGTCCCTAAGGAAATAAATTAGCTTTTCAACAGCAGCTATCCACTAGTTCACGTTGATTTAATTTCCATTTGGTTGTAGGAAATTTATAGAATTTACACTGACTTTTCTTACTGTTGTTTTTACAATCTACTATACAACTTTGGTGTCTCATTTTTAACTTCCCGTAGGGTAAGTTATTGTAATTGTCCAAAAATCGAAATTGAAAATTTTTGCCATTCTCGACGTTTTGAAGGTTTCTGAACATTTTCTCAGAAAAAATTGATGTGTGTGTGTGTTTTGTGTGTCCGCATTTTTTCGTTCACGTTTTCGGGCGCACGGATTTACCAATTTGAATGGTTCAAAAAAAAAAGCATTTGATGATAGGGAGAAGTGCTGATAAGTTATAGCAAAAACAGGTCCAGCCGATACGGAGATAAAGTAGAAATCGAGTTTTTGAGAGAACGGAGTATCCGATTTGAATAATCAAAAAAAAACATTCAATTAGTGATGATTGGGACAAGTGGTTTTTAGTTTTTGGCAAAGGCAGGCCCAGTCATTTCGAAAATACAGAGCTAAATGTGCAAAAAATGGCAGTTTTTGAAAGAACTAAGCGTCCGATTTAAATGATTCAAAGAAATTTCTGTTTGTTTTAACAAAATAATTGATTTTGGAAAAAAAATATTTTTTTCAATTTTTTTTTCAAATAATTTTTTTTTGTATAGCGAAAATAATTCAGATTTTATTTTTAATTCTGACTAAAGTTCTAATATACTTTAAACAAATAATTTCAACTTTGCAATTCAGTTTATATAATTCTTATCAATATTAGACAATGTTACAATATTTATAATAATCTCTTTGAAAACATTCAGTATTCCTCGAACATTTCGTTACGGTACGGGAAGTTCCAGCAATTTGCCTTAAGGCACGATGCCCTACACCCCACTAGTTATTTAATTCATTTACATTTAAAATAAAATAATATTTCACGCGTATTTGTTTACTATTTTGGTAATAATAGCCTCACGTAGTGCTCAAAATGACCACTACGAGCGCTACAGACAGTTTGAGTTCCCCTTGCATGTTTTCACACATAGCGAATATGTTTCTACTCTCTCTATTGCTGTAAATGAACTCTATGCTTCAAATGTCAAATAATAAATGTAAAAGTTGAAATTATTTATATCATTAAAAAAATTATTAATAAGTCTAGACTATTATTTAGCACACAACTATTTTCTAATTTTTTTTTTGTGAAAGTATTTAAAAATGTCGGAGGAAACAATTATGTCTATGAATGATCAAACAATTAAAATTGAACCACCTGAATATTCACCAGAAGACATTAAACTTGAAATGGAGGATGAATTTGATAATCCTGATGTTATTGTTAAATCTGAATCGTGTTCTGAAGATGATGATACGTGTTCAGAAAGATTCATGAATTCCGAGGTGACAATTGAAGAAGAAGTCAAACAGGAGTTGGTCGAGACATCAACTTATGAATGTGACATTTGCAATAAATCATTTGCAGAAACACATCATTTAAAAGAGCATATGATCGAACATATGCCTAATAATAGCAAAGAAAGTCCTTTTAAATGTGAAATCTGTTACAAGACTTTTGATCGATTAAGTGATCTGAAAAGGCACATGCTCATTCACAGTGGTGAGCGTCCCCACGAATGCAATATATGCAAAAAAACTTTCACGCAATCAGGCAATCTGAAAAGTCACATGCTGATGCATAGTGGAGTACGTCCTTATGAATGCAATATATGCAAAAAAACATTCACGCATTCAGGCAATCTGAAAAGTCACATGCTCTGGCATAGTGGAGTACGTCCCCATGAATGCAATATATGCAATAAGAAATTTACACAATCATGTCATCTGAAAAGTCACATGCTTATTCACAGTGGAGTACGTTCTCATGAATGCAATATATGCAAAAAAACATTTACGCATTCAGGCAATCTGAAAAGTCACATGCTGATACACAGTGGAGTACGTCCCCACGAATGCAATATATGCAATAAGACATTTGCAGAATTAAGTAATCTGAAAGTTCACATGATCATTCACACTGGATTAAGGCCTCACGAATGCAATATATGCAAAAAGACATTCAGACATTCAGGTACTCTAAAATCCCACATGCGCTTTCACAGTGGTGAGCGCCCTTATGAATGCAATATATGCAAAAAAACATACACGCGCTCAAATAATCTGAAGCTTCACATGCTGATCCATAGTAAAGTACATCCTCATGAATGAAATATATGCAATAATACATTCACACATTTACGTGATCTAAAATGCCACATGCTCATTCACAGTGGTGAGCGCCCTTATGAATGCAATGTATGCAACAAGACATTCACGCAATTAAGTAGTCTGAAATGTCACATGCTGATACACAGTGGTGAGCGTCCCCATGAATGCCATAAATGCAAAAAGACATTCACAGAAAAAGGTAATCGTAAATGTCACATGCTGACACACAGTGGAGTACGTCCTCATGAATGCAATGCATGCAATAAGAAATTTACACAATCTAGTAATCTGAAAAGGCACATGCTGATTCATAAACGAGAGCATCCTGATAAATGAAGTATGTAATAAGGAATTTACTCAATCGAAGGATTTGAAGAGACTCAAGTCAGAAGCATGATGAAGATCAATGAAATATAAGAATATTTGTTTACTTAAATTTAAATATTGTAAAATTTTCTTGCATGTAACGGAATGTATAAATAGTATGAAATATACAGTAAACACTACATAATATTAATATTATTTCATGATTTTTTATTAGTTTAATTTTTATGTATTAAGTATTATTAATGAGTATTAGTAACCATTAGTTTCAGGTTCGAATACAAATACCAATCTTGGTCAGCAGTAGTGATATTAAATATTCACAAGGAATATTATATTTCACCAAAAAGTATGGATTTAAAAAAAATTAGTAAATCATTCCTACAAATTAAAATAAAATGAATCATTTTTACAAAAAATGATTTTTTGTATGTAAAGGTCCAGCAATGCCATGCACCACTAGTTTGCACTAGTTTTTTAATAATATTTTATTAGTAATTATTTTAGATAATCTAATTACCTTAAATTAACTTCCCGTAGGGTAAGTTATTGTAACGAGCCGAAAATCGAAACTGAAAATTTTCACATTTCTCGACGTTTTGAAGGTTTCTCAACATTTTAGCATACCTCAAAAAAAAATGGATGGATGTGTGTGTGTGTGTATGTATGTATGTATGGATACAATTTTCCAGTCACGTTTTCGGGCGCACGCATCAACCGATTTGAATGGTTCAAAAAACATTCGATTCCTATTGATAGGGAAAAGAGCTGATTAGTTTTTGGCAAAGGCAGGTCCAGAGAACTAAGCGTCCTAATTAAATGATTCAAAGAACTTTCTGCTTGTCTTAACAAAATAATTGATTTTGGAAAATAAAATTTGTTTCAACTTTTTTTTTTTCAAAAAAAAATTTTTTTTGTGTATCGAAAGTATTTCATATTTCATTTTTAATTCTGACTATAGTTCTAATATACTTTAAACAAATAATTTCAACTTTGCAATTTAGTTTATATAACTCTTATAAATATTAGACAATGTTACAATATTTATTTATAATAATCTATTTGAAATCATTCAGTATTTCTCGAACATTTCGTTACGGTACGGGAAGCTCCAGCAATTTGCCTTAAAGCACGATGCCACACACACCACTAGTTTGTAATTTGAGTCAACCGCCCAGTAAACACTAGGGGGCACCGAGCGGCGGTAGCAATCCGAAATCCACATAGATTCCACATGCATATCACATCGCTGAAGGCAAGCTTGTGGATTTCAGGTTGCTACCGCCGCTCAAATGACACGGTGTTTACTGGGCGAGATGAAAGGGTATGAAAAAAGTTCAAGAAACTTCAAAGTTTTCAAAATTAAAAAAAAACTAGTGGTGCGTGGCATTGTGCCTTAAGGCAAATTGCTGGAACTTTCCGTACCGTAATTAAACATTCGAGGAATGAAAATAATCAAAAATTGTTTTAACTAATTGAAATTTCATTTATGAATATGAAAATCGATTTCTTACAAAAATTTCTAAATTTTTTGGAATTTCTGGAATGTTTTTTAATTTTTTGAGATTTTGGAAATTTTAGAAAATATTCGAAAATTCTCAAATTTTTGTAAGAAATCGATTTTATTTTTAAATTTTGATATTTTTTGAAATTTTTCAAAATTCAGATTTTTTTTAATGATGAAAAATTTCGAATATAAGAGTTTTTCAAACTTAATTTTTTTGAAAATTTTGCATTTTTTTTGAAAACTTTCAAAATGACGAAATTTTCATCTAATCGGATGATCCGTTTTCTCAAAAATTGCATGACCATTTTTACACCCTTTGCGCTCCATATCTCCGAAACGGCAAGACATTACTTTTGCAAAAACGCCTCGCGATCGACTACGAACCGAATGTTTTTTCAATCATACAAATCTGATATTCCATACTGTCGAAATTGTCGAGGACATCTGTTCAGACCATATAATTGAACTTCTAAATTAAAAATCTTGGTACGGAACCCAAAAAATTCACACAAAATGCGTACACATTATTAAAATCTTTATAAAATATCTGATAATTTGGTGTGCATATGGCTAATGAACATTTTTGTCCGCCAAATGGTGTTTTGTTAACTTATTTTTATTGAGAGTCCATTACCGCCGGACCTGCCTTTCTAAAAATTTAAACAGTTCTTCGTTTAGTCAATACAAATAAAGTGTTTTTCAATTATTCAAATCGGATGCTCCGTTCTCTCAAAAACTTAATTAAGATTTTTGGCAGCTTTTGCCCCGTATCTTCAGAACTACTCAACCTACCTTTGCCAAATACTAATCAGCACGTCTCCTTATCAATACGAATCAAATGTTTTTTCAAAATGTTGTTCAAAATCAAACGAAATTGTTCAAAATCGACGAAAAATTGTATCCGCACATACATACACACACACATACATCCGTTTTTTCTAAGGAATGTCCCCACTAAACCAGTTACGTAATATTACGTAATTTTAGTGTAAGAAATATGTAATCTACATTACGTAATCAGATATTACGAAATAATTACAAAAGTATTACGTAATTCGCCTGCAAAAAATATTACGTAAGAAAAATGAGGATTTTATTTCATATATATTACATAAAGATCGGCAGCTCGTGATTTTTCGGAATATTTCGTTTCATGAGCGAAACTGTCAACCAATGAACGGCCTTAAGCGACATAAGTACCGTTAATCCTGCGAGGCAGCCGCCGGCCGCCAGCCGCTGGCCTAGGCTATGATGCCAAGTTTTTTTTTTTTTTTTTTTTATTTTAATAATTTTTACAACTGTCCTGAAACGGACAACAAGTAAAATATTTGACATGAAACTGAAGGCGTTGGCAAAATACAAATCATCTGACCATTGCCAGTGATTTGTCGAATGGTCTCATCTATTGTTGATTAGTGCAGAAGAAATTTTCTTTTTAATCGGGCCCTGGTAGAGTTGATTTGAAGTTTTCTCGCGAGCAAGTTCGGGTGGTCAGCTAGGCGATTTCTATATTTGTGTGAGTAATCGATTATTTCATCCTTAACTGTGCTGGTGCCTGAGTCTTTGTGTATTAACCAATTTGGAACATACTTTGGTGCTTTCAAAATTTCTTTTAATAACTTGTTTTGAAATCTTTGAATTATTAAAGCGTTTGAGTTGGAAGTTGTTCCCCATAGCTGTATGCCGTATGTCCAAATTGGTTTGATGATGGCTTTATAGAGGTAAATTTTATTATGAGTGTCAAGTTTTGATTTTCGTCCAAGAAGCCAATGATATCTTCTTCTGGTTTCTTCAAGCTGCTTTCTCTTTTTCTTAATGTGTTATGATGCCAAGTTAACAAGTTATCCTGAAATGCATCATGGGAGATGGGACTATTCGCGATGTGTTTTAAATTAAGTGTTGTGTTTTGTAGTGTCTAAATAATATTTTTAATTTGCTAATTAAATGTGAAAGTGATATTAAATATGTGACAATATATGTTTATAATAAATGTATTTTAAAGGCTCTTAAATTACATGAATTACTTAAATCTTTACTCTAAAACGCTCCATTAACCTAAAAATTAATCGTGTGTGTTATTAATTTTTTTTCTAATAATAATTAGATATATAAAGAACTTTGTTTCAAATGTAACGGTATCATATTCTAAATACTATTTTATTGTTAATATAAATTCAGTGACAAATTATATATGACAGAATCACTTGGCCTTTTGAAAACCATTTGCTTTGTGTAAGTATATAAAAAATATATGTATCAAAAGTTAAATAGAAATTATTACCATGTTTTTTATTTCAGGTGAAAATCGAAAGCTAATAATTTATATCCGAGATGCATTTTTTCATCACAAATGGGCTATGAAATAGATATCGAGAATGCTTTTGTAGAGAAGACATCATAGACTTATACCACATTTAGTTTTAACTGAAGATACAATTCCTAATTACATAATATATACATAATATGAAATATTTAGTGAAAGAACTTATGAAGACTTTGTAAAGGATACTTCGATGATTTTTATTTCGAGTTTAATTTTAAATTTGCACTTCTCTTATGATTTATCATATTGTATATTTTTCCATTTGCCATGAAAATGTTGATAAATATGTCATATGTAATTACATTATTTTATAAAAATTGTGAATTATTATTTATTACTTTGTGGATTTGCTAATGTTAAAATTGTGTACATATGCCGAAAAAATAAACATACCATATAAATGTGCTTTTTCTTTTATTTTTCAGAAAGTATATATATATATATATATATATATATATATGTGTGCGTGTGTATGTACATACATATAAATTATATATGTATGCACATACTATGTGTATACGCATTTCTAAGTTCATGAATGTATGTGTTCACATATACGCATATGTGTGTATGTGTGTGTGTGTTCATATATACGAATATGCCTGTATGTATTTATGTATGTGTGTAAAAAAGGGCCCCTCCACGTCATTTTTTTTTTCAAAAATTACGTAATTATTATGAAATATTTTCGTAATCCATATTACGTAATCCACATTACTTAAAATAGGCGAAATTATGACACATATCTTACATTAATCTTACGTAAAAATGACATAAGTATGTAACTATTTTGCGTAAAAATTACATAAATATTACGGATTTTGGCTTAGTGGGTCAAAATGTTCAGAAACAGCTGAAACGTAAAGATATATAAAAATTTTCATTTTTGATTTTAACAGAAAGTTCAAAATTTAGTTTTCAAAAAATATCAGTATTTTCGAAAAAGGCATTTTTTTCGATAATAAATTTTTTTAAAAATTATTACAAAAATTACAAATTTTCAAAAAAAATCTCTTTTTTCTGAGATTTCAACAATTTTAAATTAGTACAGTGAGTTCCAGCAATTTTTTAATTTTTAAATAGTTTTTAATTACTCAAATCAGTTTATCTCGAAATCGTCGACGAAAAATTGTATCCGCACACACATACATCCATTTTTTCTAAGGTATGCCAAAATGTTCA